TCCCTGCATGTTGTACAGAGTTTGTTTCTTCTTTTAATTTATTAATCACATTTTTCCACTGTTTATATATATATATATCTTGACAGTAGGTTATTTTTTTTTTTATTAGCTATGACAAAAGCATGAGATGTTACTTGAAATACCTTTAATTCAGGAACAAAACTTATGCATTTTCTTCTGATTTATTGCCCCCAAATAAAGACAAGATTACTAAAATGCTAAGTGTTTTTATCTCACTCTATAGTTCTTGGGCAATCATGACAAATATTCTACAATTAGTACAGGCTGCCCTGAAAAACCAAGCATAAGTGCCTTATTTCCCCCACTTACCACTACAGTTTACTCATTCATCCACTTACCTTTCACTCAAATTCTCCAGCAGCTAAGCTGTCTCATTTGGCTTTAATAAATAGTCTGCTATGGAAATACTGAAATCACTTAATGTGACAAACTTGTTTACCTCTTCTTAATTTTCTTACACTAGCACACTGAAAAATGATTCTGCTTTGTCCAGAAGACATCAGTCTCAGCTACTTGGCTGTCAACAATACAGACTACAGGGATATCAGGATGAGATTCTGTTTTAAAAACAGAAAGGAAGGAAAGCAAAACAGCCCACAACACATCAGTGCACTGATGTGATGAATTCTGCCCTGTGCAGAGCTGAAGTAGATTTCTATGTAGGCTGTGACCCCTCAGCAGCTCCCACCATGGGCCATGGGGAGCCATGAGCCCCAGCCTCAATCCTGCCTCAGCTCTCAGCACAAGCAGAAGGTGGTCCTCAGTGTTCTTTCTCACCACCAGAAATGTCTGTTTTGCTTATTTCTACAATGAAGGCCTTCTCTATTGATGAAAAAAAAAAGTACAGGCTGTAGGTCAGCCATCATTGCAGAGCTATTTGGCCACAATCTTAAACTGCTGCTTAGCTGCAAATGGGCATTCTTAGGAGGGTTCTTTAGCCCTGTGCAGTAGCTGGCAGGTGAAGTACCTCTGAGAACCCTGAAGTACCCAGCCTCTTCAGCTTTTCAATCAGTATACTCAAAAATGCACTGCCTTTTTTTGTTTGGTTGGTTTATTTTGTCTTGTCTTGTTTTGCTTTGTTTTGCTTTGTTTTGCTTTGTAAGTTGCTGCGTAGTTCAGAGCAGAGATCTGCAGGACTCAGAGCAGAAATGCATTTTTTTGTACTTCAATTTCTTGACTAGAGCTAAAGCACATTGCTCACACTACAAGAACCAGAAATATGCTTCGACGTGAACCTCCCCAGCAGGTTTTACACCTCACACAGCCGTGTGAGGAGTGCAGAAAGCATCTCTTCCCCAACTCTGCCTCTGCCCTTCCTTCCTAATGCTTTCCCCTTGCAGCTGTTTACTTGTTTGCAGTGAAGCTAAAAAGATGCAAACTGAAGAAAAGGGGAGTTGGGGAAAAGCTATTAATTACTTCTTAGAACATGGAACCAACCGTAATTTGTCGACATTGTTTTTCTAATTCACATTTTCCCTATTTCAAAACAGGACTTCAAATCACCTGGTTCCAAATTGCTCTAATCAGGGGCAAGTAGTCCTTAATTTCTAAAAAAGAATACAGATCCAAGCCCTGACATCATCCTGGAAATAGAATAGTATGTTGTAGAACAAGAAAGATAAATATATGTATATGCAAAACATGAAACATAAAAAATAACATGTTCAGGTGCAGGTCTACAGAAAGAACTTGTGAACTTTGCTCAGTGTTCCATAACATTTCATAATATCACTGCTAAACGTAGCTGAATACACGCCTCAGATCTCGTAATCTATTTCTTCTACTGTGTTTTTCAGTTGCTAAGAATCTTCCACCTCCTGTTTCCTGAAAAATACAAGGTTATAGCATCCGACATGCTGTAGGGAATCATTCCTCATTGGACTGACTTTGAATATACCTGAAAGCATTTTGCTGCTCCCAGATTTTATCTGCTATGGTCCAATAACCCCAGCAAGCTTGAACCTGGCCTTGACATGCTGCTCTTTACCTCCAGGTGATAATTCAGGAGGTAACTTCTCTCAGCCAAGCTTAAGATCATTCTTTTCAGACAGTTTGGAGGAAAATAAGAAGATCACGAACAATCCCTGAGCTTCTCCATTCCCTGACATAAAGTCACGCACATATTTTCTCCCTTCCCCACATCTCCCTGTCACACAGGCAGTCTGAACCCACAGCTTTCTGCTCAGTCCATCAGGTAAGAACTTGAAGACTCTATTAAATATTGGAAATAGAACCTAGAGACAAAGCAACTGGTTCAAAGCACATTTCCAAGCACTCAACTTCCAGTTAAAACAGAAAACAGTTCTGTGGAAACGCGGCCAGCATTTATGTACATAAGTCAACTTAGAGGCGTTTCTGAGCCTATATTTTGCTTCTTGGCCGCTTCAGAGCTGCATCTTTGGAAAGACATCCTTAAAAAACATTCGTGTCCTTATACCTGCAACAGCATAAGGCTCAGAGCTTTCTGATCAGATCTCCTCTGTGCAGGTGAATTTAGACATGAGCTTAGCGCAAAAGGCTTTGAAAACACATCCCTCTGTGTGTGCCAAGCTGCTGCCTTGCTCAGAAGTGACTGAGTCTTCCTTGAGAGGTGCACCAGCTCCCAGCCCCACACCTGAACTCATCTGCAGTACAACAGGCTGCATTCACCTCTTTCGTCACTTATACTTTGCCACCCGTATGTCAAAGAGTTCAACAAATCTTAAATGATTTTGGGGAGCACTTAAACGCTGTTTTCTAAAGCATTTATATTCGTTTCTATTTATGTCTGAATGCCATCCCCGTGTGTGCACCCCTCCTTGCTCACAACATCCAACAAGCACGTCATGTTCCATGATTCACTCAAAAAACAGAGCATTGCGTTGTTCTTTGTTCGACTGTACTCTGAGAACCTCTGAGCTCTCCCATTGAAAAACAAAACATGGAAGCCCCACAATTAATCTCTGCGGCCCCTGAGCAGACAAATGAGCGATATTCAATCAGTGATATTTTAAAGGAGGATTTTTCTCCAGCCTCACCATCATTCTTTCCGCCTAGACTTGACAAAGAGGGAAACGTTTGGATCAAAATCACGTTTATTTCTCACTTAAAGAGCTCTCTTTTTCCCGTGAACGTGGAGAATTCTTTTCTCCGTATTGGAAGATGCCTCCGACCTGCCTCTCTCCTGCGCGGACTCGCCTCGGGCCGCAGGGGCCGGAGGCACCGCCTGCCGCCTTTGTCTCTTCTCGCCCTTTCACGCAGGATGGTTGCGATTGGTGTTACCGGCTGCACTCCCGAGCTCGCGAACCGCACCGATTTTTTGCTGGACGGATCCCGTTCGCAGTGTGGGCACTGGGCCACTGCGCTGCTCTGATGTCACCGGTGTGACGTCGCGGCGAGCGTGACGCGTGATCGAAGCCGGGTGCTCCCTTCGCGGGCACGGCAGACAAATATAGACACGCAGCCCGGGTCGCCCGAGTGCGGGTGCCGCCGTCGGTGCCATAGCGGGACCGAACTCGGCCGGAGCGGTGGCGGTGGAGGGACCCTGTGCTGCCCGGAGCGCTCGGGGCAGAGCGTCGGTTCGGCGCCCCGGTGGATATATAGCGAGTAGGCGAGTGCCCGGCCCAAAAATAAAAATCCTAAATCCTACGGTTTTCCTATCTAAAACCTCTATATGGTTTTAGATAGGAACCCAAGCCCTGCATGTGAGTTTTCATTTCCTATTGCTGTTGGGCATGTTTAGCTCTCTGCGAGCAGAGGGGGAGTCTGACTGCAGCTGGGATTCCCTCACCCGCTGGGAGCAATTCGTGTTTACCATCACCTCAGCCTGGGCTGAAATAAGGCCCGGCGCCAGGAACTCAAGGGTCATGATGTCCGAATGGGTCGCGAAGGTTCGTCTGCTGCCCGGGGGCAGCGGGATTTACATAGAACGGAGAATTCCCGACAATTTTAGCTGAGCGCGTTGCCGGATGCCCACCCGAGGGAAGCACAAGTTGACGGATGAGCATACCAACAGCGGTTCTAAGGATTTTTTTTTTCTTTTTTTTTTTTTTCAGTTTTACAAATCACTAATGAGTGAAGCAAACTGATGGCACGGAGCCCTTAGCATCTCCGCACAGACTTTGCTCAAATTATATATATATGTGTGTATTATATACACATATATTCGAGCCGTGGGCATAGAGAAGAGCGAATCGAGCAGGTTTGCTCTTTTGTTTTCCCGGGTGAGAGAACGAAAATATTCGGAGAAAACATTCATGGCCAATTGTGTAACGCCCGACCCAAGGAAGCTGCGTTCGGGGGTTCAGCCAAGCTGCCCCCTCGGGGCGTTACGCAGAAACCTCACTGACAGCACCGACAGTACTTTGCCTGCAACTTTATTTAAAAAAAAAAAAAATAGAAATAAAAATACTGGCATGACAAACCGGAACCAGAACCGAAATACTGTACATCATTCGTTAAAAAACAAACATACAGCACAGTTGTATTCTACCAAACAGAGAGTGTGTATTTCCTTTGAAATTATATAGTGCGTGCTTTAGATTCATGCTTCTCGATATTTATTTTACATTTGTTCCTCAAATATTATCCTTTATAAATAACTGCCACTCGATCAGATGGTGCACCTGCTACGTACGGACCTCTCCATTGCTGCGAGTGGGGCTTTTTGCCGCCTTTTCTCTCCCTAGTTTTCGATTTCGCTGTTTTTTCCCCAGACAGCAGTCGGTATTTGCCCACCGTAATCGCAGCAGCGCCGCTCCGTCGGGACCCGAGCACCGCGGCGCATCCCACAGCGGCACTGCAGAGCCGGCACCGCGACTCCCGCCGCCGGCACCCGCGGGAGGAGAGGACGCAGAGAAGAGCCGTTCCCCAAAGGCACAATTTCCTCCACGCGCGGCGGGACAGCAGCGAGGGGCGGTGCGCGGCGCTCGGGACGCGCATCGGGGCTGCACCGGGAGCCGGGGCTCGGCCCCGCCCCAGGGCTCCGCGGGCTGTCGGCGCTACTGCTGCCGGGTCCTGCCGCCGCTCTCGGGCTCGCTCTGGTCGTCGGTGAAGCAGACGTCCACGTCGCTCTCGTTGTCAGTCTTTTGGTCGCGCTCGGCGGGCGCGTAGCCAGAGTCACTGCGCTCCTCGGCCGCCTTGCCGAGGCCCTGCCCCGGGTGCCGGGATTTGACGTGCCGCTCCAGATCGCGGCGCCGCACCAGCACCTTGCCGCAGTACTCGCAGCGATAGGGCGTGTTGCCCTCGGCGTGCAGGCGGATGTGCTTGTTGAGGTTGCTGGGGTCCCCGAAGGGCCGCAGGCACACCTTGCACTTGAGCGGCTTGTAGCCGGTGTGAGTCCGCATGTGGATCTTCAGCCCGTACTTGCGGGAGTACAGCTTGCCGCAGTACAGGCACAGGTGCCCGGCCTTGGCCTTGCCGCCCGCCGTCCCCGCCGCTCCCGCGGGCAGCGCCTCCAGCCGTCCGCGCCCCTTCTCGGCCGCCAGCTCGGAGAGCTGCTGCGTGTGCATGGCGATCTCGCGGTCGATGCCGGCCAGCGAGCCCAGCTCTGCGGCGTGCAGCCCGGCGGCCGGCCCGCCGAAGTAGGGCACGGCCTCGGGGTACTTGAGCAGCCCGCCCAGGTGCAGCTTCAGCGGGTAGTAGGGCGCGGCGCCGTACAGCAGCTCCCCGCCGTACACGGTGAGCGGCATCACGGGCAGTCCGCACTCCCCCGCGTACGCCTTCAGCCCCTCGAAGGGCGGCAGAGCGAACCGCTCCAGCGCGCCGCCGGGCAGCGGCGGGTAGCGGCCGGGCGGCAGCGCGGCGCCGGGCAGCCCGCGCTCCAGGGGCCGGAAGGCCGAGGCCTCTTCCAGCGGCGACAGCAGCGGGAAGGCCCGCAGCCCCCCACCGCACGCCAGCCCCGCCGCGGCGGCCGCGGCGGCGGCGGCGGCCGCCGTCGGGGGTGCGGTCTCGGCCGGCAGCGCCCCGCACTTGGGCGGCGGCTCGGCGGCGGCGCGGCCCGCCTTCAGCCCCCCCAGCAGCTTGGGGAAGCCCGCGGCCGCCCGCGCCTCCTCCCGCAGCGGCCCGGCGGGGCGGAAGGCGGAGCGCGCTCCCGGACACAGCGCCAGCCCGTTGCCGCCCGCCGGCCCCAATAGCGCGCCCGGACCGCGGCCGGCGCCCACGCTCATGTCCAGGGCGCGCTCCTGCTCCTCCTTGCCCGCCGCACGTCGGGGCTTGACCGGCGGCGGGGAGGCGGCGGCGGCCTCTCGTTTGACGGCGTCCCGCGGGCCGCAGCCCGGCGGAGGGGGGCCGGCCGCCCTCGAGGCGAGGCCGAAAGCGGCGGCGGCGGGGCGGCCGTGCTCGGAGTGCAGGAAGGGCCGTCCGTGGCTCAGCGCGCAGTGGAAGTGGACGTGAGCCTTGAGGCTGTTGGGGTACTTGAAGGTCCTCCAGCAGTACCAGCAGATGTAGCGCTCCTCCCCTGCGGAGGGAAAGCGCAGCGCCGTCAGCCCGCGGCCCGCAGCCCCGCTCCCGTCCCGATCCCGTCCCGCTCCCTCCCCGCGGCACTGCGCGATGCGGCCGCGGATCTCTCCGGCCGGGCGCGGGGGGGAGCAGCTGCCGCCGGGGTCGGCTGTCGGGGGTGGGGGCCATCTGTTGGCGCTCGCAGCAGAGGCGGCGTATGGCGGGGAGCCGGCCGCGCCGAACAAAGGCCAATCTAATGATCGTGAGCCCCTCATTACGCGGCGAGACAATATCCGATATGTATGGGCCATATGTAATCGTTCCCTTTCAGAGGACAATGCCCTTTGTGCCCCGGCTCCGAACATTTCGGATCCTCTCAAGCGGAAGAGACCCCGGTGGCCGCGGCTGTTCGCTGCCGGCCCGGCCCGGAGCGCCGCTTCGTTCTGCGCTGCCTGCGGGGGGCATCCGCCGTGCGGACGTCTTCATCTTCTCTGTACGTGTCCTTTCTTCCTGCCTTTCATTCTTCTTTTTTTCGTTCTTTCTTTCTTCCTTCCTTTCTTTCCTTCCTTCCTTCTTTACTTTCTTCCTTTTTTCTCTCTCCTTTCTCTCTTTTTGTCTCTTTCTTTTTCTTTCTTTCTTTCTTTCTTTCTTTCTTTCTTTCTTTCTTTCTTTCTTTCTTTCTTTCTTTCCTTCCTTCCTTCCTTCCTTCCTTCCTTCCTTCCTTCCTTCCTTCCTTCCTTCCTTCCTTCTTTCCCTCTTTCCCTCTTTCCCTCTTTCTTTCTTTCTTTATCTCCCTCTTTCTCTCTTTCTCTCTTTCTCTCTTTCTCTTTCTTTTCCTCTTCTCTCTCCCTAAACCTTTCATTTTCCTCTTCTCTCTCTCTTTCCCTCCCTTATTCCCCTCCACCACCCATACCCATTTCCCCATCCCTCTACCATCTGAGCTGTCCATCTCCAAACACCGCTCACACATTTTCAACGTCCCCAAAGTTCCCACAGCTGCTGCCCGCCCCACACGCTCCCATCCGCTCTTCTCTCAAGGCTCCAAGCACCGCAACGACCAACGAGCGGCCGAGTACCGGACAACCCCTGGAGCCGCCGGGTGCGGGGCAAGACGGCGGCGTCGGGGCGGGAGCGGAGCGGCGCAGCGCTCGGACAACGCTGTGCCCGGCTCCGGACGCGCGTTCCGTTGCCCGCTCCCAA